AGGAATAGGAGTGGTTGGTGAAAGATGAGTGATAATTATGTTTGATGCATATTCATGAAGAAGAGGATTATGTTGGTTGAGCCATTCAGATGCTGGAATTAATGAAGTATGAAACCAGGTAGGGGGTTCGTTTGTATTTAAGTAGGATCCAATTAGTCTAGAGTATAAATGGAGAGTAGGGTAATTGTGAGATAAGTTAATATTTCCCTCAAGGTGGCGATAGTTAGTGTAACGATTTGAGCCTACAGTTCTACCAAGAGTGCAATTCATGAAAATTGGAGAGAGGTATTTTCTATGTATCATAGAGACATTTTCAATGTGAGAAGGAATAGGAGCTAATATTGGAGAGTGACGACGTGTTTTTTTGGTTTTTGCAACCGTTACATACAGCAACTTGTATAATATTTTTATTGTTTCTTCTAGTACGGACTGGTATTGAAAAAACTTGTATCATTGTATATGAAGTGGTTTCATCATAAGTAATCCATTGGGTGGATGAGTTCGACATAAGGATAGAACAATAAGCACAAGGAATGTTTGGATAATCAAGTAAAATTTCAGTTTGAAATTTGTGTATAAGACGTTGAAGGGCTGCTGCTGTTGGTGAAAGATCTGAACATATATATTCGTCCTCATGTAATCCAAATTTTATTTTATATTGAGGTTTTTGATTATAATAATTAATAAAGCAAGTAACTGTTTTTTCGCTCTTGCCATAGGTTGTTTCTACAACATAATTATCGGGAATTGGATAATGATTTGACCCTCTAGTATAAGTGAGATAAGACTCAGGTGGATAAACACCTTCCTTTACAATATAATATTGAAAACTTCTTCGTGGTAACTTCCATTTAATCGTGCGATCCACAGGATAATTTGAATTTTCTTCGCCAATTTCTTTCATTTTTTAAATGACAAATTTTAATTAACGTTAAAATTATTTTAAGTAAAAAATACTTTATGTATTTATTTTTATTATATCATATTTAAATCACAAATATGTCATCAATTAATCAGCACAAATAAATTACGTATATCTGGAGTCAATTAAATTGACTCATCATTAGTGGTCAAACTTCAGAGATTTTGGGGTATTTCGCAAATGCGCCGTAATGAATTTATTCAGCTCCCGTCATACCAAATTCTTACATTCCTGATAATAAAGGAGGACGAGAAAGTTTTATGCTAGCAAGACGTTTATACAATGGAGTCACTAACAATAAATATGTTGACTCAAAAATTATTGTATCATATACTAACGAAAACAATCGATACACTGCTATGAAAAAATAATTTAAAAAACACAGTCTTATCTGTTATAGGCAGGTTAAAACTTGGTCATAAAAAACTTCCTCATCTTCTAGCTGCTGATATTGAATGAACCTACGTAACTAATGATTCTCAACCTTCGGTTACTTCATCTGGAAAAGCCTCTTCACAAAAACTTGACGTTCAACTTGACAGTATCAAAGAAAAATATGCCACTTTAATATCTCCGTTCCCTCAAAAAAGACAACGAATCAATTTACTAAATCCTTCAACCAGTAACACTTCGAATAACAAACCTCAGTCTTTAAATTTTCCAGAAGTTGTCTCGCAAATCCAAAAAAGTCCACCTTCAATTTCTACCGCAGAACCTCTTAACTCGCAATTCCATAATCCCAACCTTAATCCCCAGGAAATGCATGAAGACTCTACTCCTCTTACTGCTCACACCAACCAACCCACTATATTTGTTACCCAAGGCCACCCCACGATTCACAGTTCTCATGAACCTCCAGCTTAAGATACAACTCCTGAATCTAGAAAACATCAATTAAGAACTCTTCGCACCACAAAAAAATAAAATTTTATATTTCAATTATACTTCTGCATTTTCTACCTTAACTCTATAAAAAAAAAAAAAAAAAAAAAAAAAAAACAATGATAGCACCTTACAAATTTTACTTCTACCATTTTTGTTATTTTACTATTCTTTTTCTTTTTTTACTATTGTTTTTCAATAAATTTTCCAAAAACTAGTTTATAAATCAATGTTATTATATTTAATAACGTATCAATGTTAAAATTGCTATTATTTTCTCCAAATTAATAAAACAACATTTTTTAAACCCGTACTGTGCGCTAACTAATCTTTCAACTTTGTATATAAAACATACCAACTCGTGCACTCCTCTACGATATTAATGCTAATATACTATATAAATAATAAAACAGCACATCAAAAGCCCATTATTTAATTACCACTTATATGTTTCAAACAAGATATGACCTATTACCCGGCAAAACCATGCTTAGAATATATATTTTTTATATACTCTAACCATGCTTTTACTAAGCAACAACCCAATATAAACTTAATATCAAATATTAGAAATATCCAACATTTAATATACTGTATCTTCTTAACCATGATTCTACGTAAAAATATCATCTATCCCTTACATAACATACACAATATTAACTTACGCACAAAAAAAAATAAATTCCTTCTTCTGTTTTTTATATGTACTATTAAATAATAAAAATTTATATTATTAACTTCGTATAAAATACAAAAATACTACATTAAAATCATTTACCTTACCACATAATAAATAATACCTTGTAATATAAAATACAAATTATAACTTCATTACCCAGTAATATATATAAAATATTGTTTATATTTTTAACCAATGCATATTCAACTCGCTTTATTCTGAATTAAATCCCCATCGTAAAACTGTACCGCTTACTACAAAAAAAAATCAAAAAAAATATTTAAATATATATAAATCATTCGTATATATAGTCCCTCAAATTTTTTTAAACCCCTCACCAACACTTGTAAAAAAAAAAAAAAAAACATGTCTAACTACACTGTTCAAACTTTTCGCCTTACCTCCTTTACTGAAATATT